GCCCTCGCCCCCCCCCACCAAAACCATGAACTTTGGCTGGCACCGGGCAGGTAATGGGGCGGCACCACCACTGGGGCTGCTGTCCGGCTCCTGGGGACCCCAGGGAGCACTTGGAGCATCCCAGGGTGCCCTCCCCATGGGGACCAGATGCCCCGGGGAGCCCTGGGGGGGGATGGGGAGCCTTGGCAAAGCCCAGGTACCACGGGCACAGGAGGGCAGAGGCACCACTGTCCCTGTGCAGGGAGCAACCCTGGGGATGGGTGCTGGGTGCCCACCCTGAGCCCCGGTGCTGCCGGGGGGCCAGGAGGGTGCTCAGGCTTGGCATGGTGGCAATGTGGGGCGGACGGGTCCTCTCCACAGAGATCCTGGGGGCCCTGCTCTCCGTGCTCTCCATCTGGGTGGTGACGGGTGTCCTGGTCTACCTGGCGGCCCAGCGTCTGCTCTCGGCCAACTACAACATCGAGGGCAGTGTCATGCTCATCACCTCCGCCTGCGCCGTGGCCGCCAACATCGTGTATGTATGGCCAGCTCTCACCCTCCCCAGGTGTCCCCCCCCTTCCCGTGCCCAGTGGCCCCAGGGACATCACCGCTGCCCTGCCCGCAGGATGGGGGTGGCCCTGCACCAGACTGGGCACGGGCACAGCCATGGGGCGGCCAGCGAGCAGCCCAATGCCAGTGTCCGCGCCGCCTTCGTCCATGTCGTGGGGGACCTGCTGCAGAGCGTCGGCATCCTCATTGCGTCCTACATCATCTTCTTTAAGGTCTGGGTGGTTACTGAGGGGCAAAGGGGATGCTGGGGACATGGGGACAGCGGCTTCAGCCAGCCCTGGCCAGGCACGGGGGTGAGATGGAGGGGACCATGTCCCTTCCCTGCTGGTGCCGATGGGGATTTGGGGTGGGGTGACAGCACCGGAGGGGCCTCACCCTCTTGCACCCCCTCCAGCCCGAGTACAAATATGTGGATCCCATCTGCACCTTCCTCTTCTCCGCGCTGGTGCTGGGGACAACGCTGACCATCCTCCGTGACGTCCTCCTCGTCCTCATGGAGGGTAAGGGCCCAGCGGGGAGGTCTGATCCGCGGGGCCACCCATGGGTGCGGCAGCCCCCCTCCCCCCAGCGCGTGCGGCTCTCCCTCCCCAGGCACCCCTAAAGGGATGGACTTCAACGCTGTGCGGGAGACGCTGCTGGCGGTGGCGGGGGTGGAGGCCGTGCACAGCCTCCACATCTGGGCGCTGACGGCAGCACAGCCACTGCTCTCGGTGCACATCGCCATCAGTGAGTGTCGCTCCCCAGGGAAGCGATGGAGGGAGGGGGGGGGAGGCATTTGGGGGTTCACCCACACCCCGACAACCCCTCCCTTGCTCCTTGCAGACGCGGGCGCCAGTGCACGGGAGGTGCTGGAGGAGGCCAGCTCCCGGCTGCAGGGCACCTTCCGCTTCCACACCACCACCATCCAGGTGGAGAGCTACTCCGAGGAGATGCGGGACTGCCGGGAGTGCCAGCCCCCCCGCGACTGAGGCCCCCCTGGCAGCCCCCTCATGTCCTGGGGGGGGGAATTTTCATGGATTTAAAATAAAGCGGAGAAAAGGGCTGGGTGCGTGCGGGGGGGGGGACGTTGGGTCTGGTGCCACA